AAAAAAAAAAAAAAAAAAGGAACAAATCAGACCAAAAATCTGATTATCTTGGTTCACCTTTTCTTTTTAATGTCTTACCAATAAGTTGATTCATTATTTATTTATTTATTTGTTTGTTTATTTATTTATTTATTTTGGTGGTACTGTGATTGAATCCAAGGCCTTCTCACTGAGCTGTATTCCCAGAGCTTTTTATTTTTCATTTTGAGGCAGAGTCTTGCTAAGTTACTAAGTTGCCCAGCTGGGCTCAAACTTGGAATCCTCCTGCCTCAGCCTTCCAGAGTCCTGAATCGCAGGTATGGCACCATACCTGGCCTATCCAGTTTTTAAATATCATTTTGCAAAGGGAAAAGAGTAAGAAAGCCTTAGAAGTAGAAAAGATGACAACCAAAACATAAATAAATTTTTAAAATTTTAAATTAAACACTTAAAACAGGGTATTATGTAGCAAACTTATTTTCTAATTTTTTAAAAAAGTCAAATACGGTATTAAGTCTAGGCCCATGTTTTTGTTACTTTCTCATTGCAGGAACAAAATACCCAACATCCACAAATTAAAGGAGGAAAGGTGCATTTCAGCTCATAGTTTGTAGAGGTTTCAGTGCATGGTCAGTTGGCCCAAGGGCAAGGTGGCATGGCAGAGGGCCATCACAGAGGAGAAACAGTCCATGGCAGGGTAGGCAGGAAGCAGCAAAGCAACAAGCCTCCCTTTCCCTTTTAGCCCACTCAGACTACAAGCCTGGTGCCACCAACACCCTGGGTGGGCCTTCTCATTATTCACTCAGAACTATGTTAAACCAATCAGTGCACTAATTTAGTTATCACACACTCTTAACCCCACCATCACACACCCTACATCCAGCCACCTGCAAAACGTCCCGCCTGTGAGTGCCTGAGGCTTTAGGGGGACATCTAGATACAAGCCTTAACAGCCCATAATGTACAGCCATTGCCACCCCTTGTCCACACCTGCCTACTTCTCTGGTCAAGACTCAGGTGCATACACACTTGGTTCACATTGCTCTTCACCTTCATGGTCTTAAAGAGCTCTCTGTCTTGATCTCCCAGCTCTGAGCGGTACCCACAGTCCTCTACCTATAGAAAATAGCCATCACCCTCTGTTTCTTTCCTCCCTGTGTCCCCACACTCACCCACACACCCTGCTCCCTGCCTTCCTTCTCGTATAGTTACATCACTGCATTTGCTTACACGTAGGTTGTGATTATATTCTTTGGCTATGTAAATGTTCTTCCCAGATGAGCTGGTTGTATACTTTCATTGTATTTTCCTTTTGTATTTTTATTTTTGTTTTGTATTTGTATTTGTATTTTTGTTGTATTTTCATTTTGGTGTTGTTCTTGTTTTGGTTTTTGAAACCGTTTCACTCTGTAGCCCAGGCTGGCCATGAATTTGCAGCAATCCACCTGCCTCAGCCTCCTGAGTGCTGGGATTACAGATGTGCACCACCATGCCCAGTTTTCATTGTATTTCTTTCCAGTGCAACTTTTGTTTTTCTTGAAGCTATTAATGCATAGTCTTTTTTGTCATTTTCTTAATTGTATAATATGCTTCATTTAATTTTTGCACTAAGAGAATCTTAAGAGTAATATTTAGAGGGCCGGGGATTTAGCTCAGTGGTTTCACCACCTGCTGCACAAGTGCAAGGACCCGAGTTCAATCCCCATTACCAAAAAAAAAAAAGAGTAATATTTAAATATGTGAGTTGAGTAACCAAATAAATGAACTATGTAAAAATGTTTTATAACCTGAAAATCACTGTGCACAAATACGATATTGTTTAGTGCTATTGATTTGTTAAAGTTATTTTGTACCAGCGATCAAACTCAGGACCTTGCACTTGCAAGGCAGGCTTTGCCACCACTGACCTGAATCCCCGGCCCTGTTAATTTTTATTTTTATGAGTGCATGTTTGCAGGACATAATGATCACACTCCTCATGGGGAGTTGGTACATGTACATAACACATCTTAATTCTTTCTTCATCCCCGTGTCCTCCTCTCTTCTGTCTCTTGTGTTTGAGATCCTCCTGCTTCAGCCTCCTAAGTAGCTTGTGCCACCTTGTCCAGATACCTTGTCCAGCTTCAGCTCTTCCTCTCTGCTGATGTCTAAACTGATTTTGATATGTTCTTGTACCCCCTGAGACATAAAAAAGGTCCATAAATGTAAAAATTTTGAAAATCTAAAGGTAAGAAATTGTTTTGATCATAACTTTGGCATACTATAGCCAGGTATAAAATTCTAAAATGGAAATCATTTTCCCACAAATCAGAAGCCACTGCTCATTATTTTCTAGCTTCCACCATTGATTTAGAAAGTTGGTGTCATTCTGGCTGCCATCCTTTCTATGTGACCTGTTTGATCTCTTCAGAAGTTTTCAGGATCTGTATCCAGAGGATTTCATTCAGGATCTTTATCCAGCTTCTCTCTATCTGGAAGCTCAGCTCCTTCAATTTGGGGACAATTTTCTTGAATGTGGGTGTTTTTCTCCCCGATCAGTTCTTCCACTTCTTTTCTATATTTTTTTCCCTTTCTGAAACTCCTATCATTTAGCCATGTTGAACACCATAAATGAACCCCAAATCTTATCTTTTTTATTTTTTGTTTTGTTTTGTTTTTTGTACTGGGGATCAAACTCAGGACCTTGTGCTTGTGAGGCAGGCAGCAGAACCACTGAGCTAAATCCCATCCCTTATCTTTTTTATTTTTCTTGCTCTCTCCCTCCTTTCTTGGGATTTCCTGCCTCATCTTCTAGCCCTTCTGTCCCCCACTTCTGCCAACGCAGATTCTGGACCTGGGGCACAGCCTGATGACTGCCACCTTGACCTGGCATTACCTCCACAGGTGAACGTACTGGTGTCCTTTGTGCTGCCCCTGGCACTCACCGCTTTCCTGAATGGGGTCACCGTGAACCACTTGGTGGCCCTCTACTCCCAGGTGCCATCAGCCTCTGCCCCGGTCAGCTCCATCCCTGGCCGCTTGGAGCTGCTGAGCGAGGAGGGTCTCCTGGGCTTCATTGCATGGAGGAAGACCTTCTCCTTAGGCGCCCGAGCCAGCCTGGTGAGACACAAGCATGCCAGCCAGATCCGCGGCCTGCAGCAGAGCATCCAGGTTCTCAGTTAAGTCCTTCATCACGCTGCGCCAGGGAGAGGGTCCGGGTGCCAGGGCTGCCCCACCCATCCTTAGCAAGCGCCTGTCCCTCCCTAGGCAGGCCTCGCCCCGTCCCAGGGATCTGTGCAGCCACCGACAGGCTTCCTGCAGAGGCTCAGCAAGGGATGATGTCTCAGTCACTTTCTTTGTCACTTGGACACCATACCCAGCATCCAGAAAGTAAAAACAGAGGTTTATTTGGGATCGGGTTTTAGTCCATGGTCTGCGGCTCCAAGGGAGGGTGGCATGGCACAGAGGCGGGGCAGAGAACTGCTCAGGGCATAGCAGACAGGAAGTGGCGAGGGAAGAGAGAAGCTGGGAGGCAAGATAAACCCTTCTGGGCCACGCCCCCAGGCCCACCCCTCCCACCAGGCCCCACCTCCTAACAGGAAGTCAGCTACCATATAAGCTCCATAATCCAATCCCTTTCTGAAAGCCGTGTCTTTGAGCACATGAGGCTCTTGGAGGACATCTAGATCTAAACCCTAACAGGTAAAGCAAGGAAAGAGTGGGAATTCAGTCTGCCAAGCCCTAGTCTGCTTCAGGCAGCAGCACACAGAGACAAGCAGAGACCAGGCTGCTCCCCGGGAAGTCCAGCAGTGTAGATGAGACCGGGAAGACACTGAAGGAACTGTGCACTCCAAGACTGGCTGGGTTCCCAAATCTAGTTTCCCTTAACTCCCCATTCCTAACTACACCGCTGTTTGCTTGCTCGTTTCTGTAAGGATCTGGGACAATTTGGCCTTGTAAGAAAAATCTCAAAAGTCACAGGAAAACAGGTTTTGAAGGCCCACCACACCCCAGGCACTGAGGTCTGGGAGGACGGAGCGAGAGGCAGGTCTGGGCCCTTGGCAGCATCGTGATCTTGGGCATGGACAGAGATACAAGATGAGGGGATGTTGGTCGGAGTCATGTGGGAAGCAGACAGGCGCTCTGGAGTAGTAGCATCCGGATGGGTGAGGAGGAGGGAGAGTCTGAGGGGGAACTGCTTGATAAGGAGGGCGTAGAAGAGTATGGCAGACACCACCTTGTGGATGAAGGCCATCCATCCTCAGAAAAAAACAACAGAGCAGGAGCCTGGAGGGGAACATGGTAAGAAAGGGCCACCATCACGGGATGCAGTGGATTGCAAAAATGCCACATGCTCAAGCAAGGTAGGTATCACCAAATGACATTAGGTATTAAATCCTAGTGTCAGGTCATGGATGAAGCGATCCGTCACCTGGAGCACAGGGTAAGGCAGGGTTTGAGAACAGATGCAGATAAAATGCATCTGGTTGGCCAGGCCTGGTGGCGCATGCCTGTCATCCCAGCACTCGGGAGGCTGAGGCAGGAGGATCAACACCAGTTCAAGGCCAGCCTGAACTACACAGCAAGCCCTGTCTCAAAAACAAAAAATCCATTGGGTCACCCACAGGTTCGCTTCCCACCCCGTGACTCCAGGAACAAGTCACAGGGAAAGGCCTGTCCCCTCAGGGATTCCGAGAGGTGGCATCACTGAGCTGTGTTTACTTTCTGTTCGTCCTGCTCTGGCTCCTGCCCTCCACTTGTCCTGCAGGAGCCATCGTGGCCGTGTATGTCGTCTGCTGGCTGCCGCACCACGCCCGCAGGCTCATGTTCTGCTATGTCGCTGATGACGCGTGGACAGAGTGAGTGTGGGCTGGGGTCTCCACATCTCTGCCTAGTCTGGGTCACAGGGTCCCAGCTGGGTGGGGTGGGGTCAGGGCACCCTCTAGATCCCTCTCTAACCCCGGGAGCCCATGGATGGCAGTCAGGGCTGTGGGCTGCCTGACTCCAGGATGAGAAGAGAAAGTCCACTGTACATCTGCCTCTCAGACCCCACTGTGCCTCTGGTCCCAAGCGGGAACCAAATATCCCACAGCACAGAGACCCCTTGGAGCCTCCGTGGACACAGCTGCGTGGATAGCAGCCTTCAGGAGCGACCAGCGCCTGCTACACATGCGTGTAGAGAGCCCTCAGGAGGAGCCTGGCTTCTCAGACTGGCCACTGCTTCCTAGTGAAGCCCTGTCTCTCTGTCACAGCTGGTGGGGACGGGGACAGCCGCCAAATCCACCTGGTGAAGGGACAGGAGTTGTTGGCAGGAAGGGGGGCGCGGACGAGGGGACAGTGCTGCAGCCAGGCCCCGGGTTTCTCTTCCAGCTCGCTCTACGATTTCTACCACTACTTCCACGTGGTGACCAACGTGCTCTTCTACATGGGCTGCGCGGTCACCCCGCTCCTGTTCAACGCCATGTCCTCCTCCTTCCGGAAGCTCTTCCTGGGCTCCCTCGTCACCCTGTGTCGGGACCACCTCCCCATGGAGGCACCAGAGGGCCCCCCCAACAGACACAGCTTCAGGCTCTGGGGGTTCCCCCGGAACCCCGACCCGGATGAGATGCAGGAGTGAATGAGCACACGGTGACTGACTGCCGGCCACCTGTCAGACCGCCCGCTGCCACTACTAACCAGACTGGGTCACTCACGGTGCCCCAGTCAGCTAACCCTGCTCCCTGGAGAAGGCAGAGGTGGAGGAAGGGCCCACCTCTCTGCTGGCCAAGATCCAAGTGCCTGGCACTGTGCCCTGAGTGTAATCAATACTCAATAAATTTTAACTGGGGCTCCTTACTGCCTAATACTAATGTCCTTACTGCCATTTTTCTGGGATCCCAGACATTTGCCACATACTTCTGTAGTTTCATGCTTCTAGGGTTTGGGCTCAGATGTCTTACAAGCTTCTTTAGATAGAAAAGAATTGAACAACACATGAGTGTTTTATTTTTGATTTTTGAGACAGTCTTGCTACATAGTCCAGGGTGGCCTTGAACTCATTATGTAGCCCAGATTGGCCTTGAACTGGCAGCCATCCTCCTACCTGAGCCTCCCAAGTGCTGGGATGACTCGCACGCACCACCATGCCAGGCTTTGATTGGCAAACTAGGATGTTCCACCTGTATTATGATGGCCATGGCAGATGTGGGAAATGGAAGCCAAGAGAAACAAGGCTCTTCTTTTGTTATTTGATAACTCAGACCAGAAACCCAGGCTTGGGGCTTGGAACTGTGGGCCCCTCCTCAGTCACTGTGGAGGGAAAGATGGTAAGAAAGGGCCAGCATCCCAGGACACAGTGGATTGCAGAAATGCCATGGGCCCAAGCAATTCCTAGAACAGAAAAGCAGAGATGCATCTGTGTTATATTTCCCACAAATCATGCAGAGGAAAATGCTGGCATCCCAGCACTGAGGCAGGAGGATAGCCATGACTTTCAGGCCAGCCAGGGCTACATAGTTTGGTTTTTTGTTTCTTTGTTTTTTGTCGGTACCGGGGATCAAACTCAGGACCTTGTGCTTGCCAGCAAGGAAGATGGGGCACCACTGAGCTAAATCCCCAGCCCCTGGGCTACATAGTGTGTTCAAGGCCAGCCTAAACTACATAGTAAGAGACACCATCTCAAAAATAAATAAATAAATAAATAAATAAATAAATAAATAAATAAATAAATAAATAAATAAAATAATAAAGGGCTGGCAATGAAGCTTAGTGCAAAGGCCCCAAACTCAATCCCCAGTACTGAAAAAAAATTTAAAAAGCCCAGAACCTGGGGTTTGGGATCAGAGAGCTGGCATTACAGGTATGTGCCACCATACCTGGCTCAATATGACCTCATTTTAACCTATTTAACTACATAGTAAGGACTCTGTTTCCAAATAAGGCCACATTCTGAGGTGCTGGGGTGTTATGGTTTGTGTCTAGATGTCTCCCCAAAGCCTCGTGTGGTCATAGGTAGGGCTTTTTCAGAGGTAGCTGCATCTAGAGTGTGTGATGCTGGGATTAAGGGTGTGTGATTAATAAATCAGTCCACTGATTGGTTTGGCACTGCCCTAAGCCCAGTAGGCTAGATAGAGTATAAAAGGGACAGAAAGAGCTGTAGTTGTCCCTTGTTGCTTTGCTACCTTCTGCCCACCATGAACTGTTTCTTCTCTGTGATGCCCCTCTGCCACCCTGCCTTGGAGCCAGCTGATTATGGACTGAAACCTCTATAAATTGTGAGCTAAATAAACCTTTCATCCTTTAACTTTGGGTGTTAGGTATTTTGTCTCAGGGATGAGAAAAGTAAGTAAGACATAGGGTTACCAATGTGCCTCTTTTTTTTTTTTTTTTTTTGGACAAGGTCTCATTATGCAGGTGAGGCTCTCCTTGAATTCACTATGTAGCCCAGGCTGGCCTCAAATCCACAGCAATACTCCTGTCTCACCCTCCTGAGCCCTGGGATTACAGGCATGCATCACCATGCCAAGCCACCAATATCCTTTCTGGGGGCTACAACTCCACCCCTAAATCACCCAAACTCTCTTATTGTTGCTGGAGTGGAGAGTGCTTTTATAGGGCAAAATCCAGCACTGAGTAGCCAGAGGTACTGGCCCCAAAAAATACATGCTCACTAGAGTTCCAGAAAGAAAGAAGGGAAACTGGGACAGCATATTCAGCGAATAACAAATACAGTCTTAGAATTCTTGTTTCTTCTCGAAACATGAAGGGCTTTACAAATCCCCATTAAGCTTTCCAACTGCTTTATTCGCTAAAATGCTAACCCTCTCTGAGCCAGGAAGTCTGCCCAAGCAAGTAGACTAAGAAAGGTATAAAAGCCGTTCCAGCCCTCTCTGCAACAGAAGCTAACTAGACTCTTTTCCCTTTTTTTTTTTTTTTTTTTTTTTTTGGTACCGGGGATCAAACTCGGGACCCTGCGCTTGGGAGGCCAGAGCCGGAACCACTGAGCTAAATCGCTGGCCCTACTTTCTTATTTTGAGACAGGGTCTCCCTAAGTTGCTAAGTTGCCCAGACTGGGCTCAAACTTGGGATCCTCCTGCTGCAGTCTCCCAGGGTGCTAGGATTTCAGGTGGGCACCACCGCGCCCAGCTGCACATTTAAAGTGATTTCTCAACTTTTAGGCTGGGATATCCCCGGAGCTGAATGGCATCCAATGTGGCACATTTGGTGCGTACATAACCACCTCCAGCACCACTTCCCGCAGGCAGCCAACGAAGGGTTTCCTCTGTGGGAAAACACTGGCTTGGGATTTTACTCTCTGCAGAGCTTTAAGAGAAAAAGTATAATCTAATACACCGCATGCAGCAGAAGTCGAGTGCGCAGGACAGAAAACAGCTGTGACGTCAGCGGAAGCATCCTTACCCCTGCTCCGATACACAAACCCTTAACCTCTCTGAGCTCCGGTTTCTGCTTGTTAGATGATCTCACTGATCATCTCACTTGAATGTCATTGGTCAAATTAAATGAAACGATGGCTATTTAGTCATCAGGCAAATGCCTGGCACACAGTAGGATCTCAAAAATGGTTTGTTCACTTTGTAGTAGTCACTGGGAGCTGGGTGGCTGTTTCGCACTTGCTGAAAGTACTGAGGGATACTTTTCTTTTGGAATGCTCTCTGACCGCCAGGTGCAGCACAAGAGCAGATCTGAGCCCAGGCGGCAAGGAACAGAGAAACAGAAGCTAGTAGAGAAGGCTCTGTGTAACCCTGCATACTCACCCCGCCATGCAGACCGCTAACCTAAACACACACTTATGGTCCCTGCCACCCCGGAACCCTTGCGTTCAGGTGGAATTGAGTTCTGCTGTTTGGTTTAATCATTACTCTTGGGTGTGAGGACTTTTTGGTGCGTTACACTTGAACAGGAGACCTCCAGAAGTCTGAGGAATAGACGGGGTAAGGGAGGGTCTCGCGTACTGAGAGTCGTGGAAAGGATTCCCGAGGCCCTGCGGGCCCCCTCAATAAAGAAATAAGGAGTTGAACACCTGGTGTGTTTGGGCTGTGAAATGTGTGGTTGGGGCTTCCTGTTCAAAATGCCATATCGTCTGTAATCCCAGGACTCTGGGAGGCTGAGGCAGGAGGGTCACAAGTTGGAGCTCAGCCTCCATAATTTCGTGACTTAATGAGACCCTGTGTTAAAAAAAAAAAAAAAAATCAAGAAAGGGCTGAGGATATAGCTCAGTGCAAAGGCTCTGATTTCGATCCAGCACACACATGCCCCCCAAAAGACATCTGGCTAAGAATTCCAGCCACAGTCTCTCCTGCTGGAATATCTTTAAAGACAGCATAAGGAAGAGCTCAAGACATCAGGAAAGGAAGGAAGGGAAGTCAAAACTTGAGCACTTCCACTAACCACAGACCTGCTAAATTTTCAATGAAGAGTTAACAAATGCTCTGTTGACCAAAACATCAAACCTTTCAACTCCAACTAAGCTGAGAGAGAGTTGCTTAGGTTTCCTGTTGTTACTGGGTTCTGTGGTGCTGGAGTCTCCTTCTAGAGATGATTTCTAAATTCTTTCTGTCCTGAACAAAGAATTTGTCAAGACAAGTTCAAAAGATAGCAGGGATTAAATTTATGAAAGGTATGAAAAGAAAAGAAACACACTGTGCAGAGCAAGTGTGGGCCAATTAATAGCAGGAAAAGAGGAACACGCTGCAGGGTGAGTGGACCACTGAGAAAGAGCACAGTAGCCAAGAGCGCAATGCAGTAGTCTTTTGTATCTCCTGCGCCTCAGGATGACGTCAGAGCTAGGCCGTCCTATCAAAAATCGGCTTGAATTCTCACGACACAATTTGAAGCTAGCATTCTAATTGGTGTGGGGCTTTGAGAATCGTTCTGCCCATGTGCCCTGGAACTCTGTGATTGACGGGTCACGCCCACTTCCCCAGTCCTTTGCCGCCATAGTCTCCTGCCTCACTAACACTGGAATTGTGGATGGAGGTTTTCTAGGTGGTACATGTACCCCCATTTCATGCCTCCCCATGAGTTCCCTCTTAGAAAGAACCTTGGAAGAAAACATTGATCGAAAGTACAAATTGGGATCATGTCTGGAGATGGGTTCAGGAGTGCCCCCGAAGAAGAAAGTGAAGTAGGAGCACGTAAAAGGCCCTGGCCTCAGAAAGCAAACAGTGGTTTTGGGGAGAATGGTCTTAAAAAAAAAACAAACAAGAGCAGGCCTTTCTCCAAGAGCTAGTCATCCCCCAGGGGTCAGCCACAATGACCATAGGATGAAGGAGCAAGCCCAGTGAGTTAGAGATTAAAAACTGAGATAATTAATCAGGAACATTTATTCTCAACTTCAGATGTTTCCTCCCACGTGACAGAACACCATTAGTGTAACAATTCTAGGTTCTCTCTGCCTCCATATTTACGTTTCCCCGTGGGCAAAGTAAAAACTTATTTTATAGTGTTTGAAGGAGAACTTGGGCTGCATAACCCAGCAATTTACTGTCTCTACTCCTGCAGCCCCCTGTCTGTCATACTGTAAATTTCCTAGGGACAAAACTCCTGTTACCAAATAGGTGGGTCTAATTCTGCCTTCAGCTTTAGAAAACTGGGTACTACCACTGAGATATAGTTTTCTCTGTTTTATAGCATTTGTTTCCTGTACAGAATTTTTATGTCTTCATGCAGGCAGAGGTCTTACAAATTTTGTGGTAGGATTTTTTTGTTTGGGCTTTGGTTTTTGGTTTTTTGGTACCGGGAATCAAACTCAGGACCTTGCACTTCAAGGCAGGCACGGTGCCACTGAGCTAAATCCCCCGCCCTGTGGTAGGTTTAATATTAGTTATTTTATGAATTTTGTTGATGTGGTGATAAGGAATTTTCTCTTCATTACATTTTCCAGTTGGTTATTGTTGACATAGGAATTCCTTCACCGTCCCCTACAAGGCTCGTGTTCAGAGGTGGGGATTTTGAAAGGTGGTTGGTGAGTTAATTTATTGGCAAATTCATAATTTCTTTTTAATACTGGGGATCGAACTCGGGTCCTTGCTCTTGCGAGGCAGGTGGTGGAACCACTGAGCTAAATCCCCAGCCCCGGCAGATTCATAATTTGATGACATTCTTGTCTTACAAAACTCCTACTTTCACGATGGGGGAGAACAAAAAACCCCAAATCCTAATTAGTAAACATGCGTCTGTGTCAGTAGATACTCATTCTGGGATGGCATCATTGAGGAGGCGGCCTTCGAGAAGTGAGGGAGGAGGGACCCAATCGGGTACCTTGCCAGGTACAGGTCCAGGTGGTCTGGGGAGCTACCTCCAGGCTGACATCACCAAGTGAGGGGAGCAGTTAGGGGTCAGCAGTGATCACAGGCATCCTTTCCGCTGCTGTCTCCCCAACTCCTCCACCCTACTTTCCAGCTCTCTAGTCTGCCGTTGGCCACCTCACTTACTGTTACTGTTAGGTTTACACCTGGGTGTCCCTACAAAGACTCGCGCTCAAAGGTGGGGCTTTTGGAAGGTGATTGGACGACGGGGCGTAGAGCCGACGGCCATTAGGAGGCGGGGCCTGATGGAGGGGCGGTTCTGGGGTTATCTCCTCCCCAGTTCCTCCCTCTCTCTCCGCTTCCTGTTTCCTATGCCTTGAGCAACTTTTCACCGCCAGAACCTTCCACCATGCTGTCCTGCCTTGGAGCCAGCTGGCTATGGACTAAAATCGTGTGCCAAACAAACCTCTCCTCCTTTAAGTTGTGGGTGTCAGGTATCATATCGTGAAGAAAGTGACCGAGACACCTGCCCATGGAGCTTTTTAATTTCCAAAACCTGTAATTGATGTGTTTTTAGACCCATTATCTCACTTCCTTCTGATGTTAGATTTATATCATAGGATTCTGTGGCTTTCTTTCTTCACAAAAATTACCTCCTTCCTCTGACTGATGACGTTTCCCATATTTCTCGAGTTTTCCTTGTGTTTTTATTTCTGACCAAGGGAGTTCCTGTTTACTTAGTTTGTCTACTGCCCATGGGCCAGGACATGTGGTAGCGACACAGTGGCCACAGACTGTCTTTACAAGGTCTGGGCTCCCGTGTCCTCCTCCTGCTGGGCTCCTGTGTGGGTTGCAACCTTGCCCATAGCCATGTGGCTGCTGCTTGTGCTCCTCACCCTGACAAATGCCCCTGACCCCAGCAACCTCTCTGGCCTCACTGCAGCTGGGCTACATGGTGGGGGGGGGTTCTTTGCTTCCTGTGAGCCATGGCTCCTCCATATTTGTCTCTCCCCCATGCCCCATCCTTTCCTCCCTTTCTTCAGGAATTTCTCAACATAATTTTTTTTTTTTTTTTTTTTTTTTTTTTTTTTGGTGCCGGGGATTGAACTCAGGTCCTTGTGCTTTCGAGGCAGGTGGCAGAACCACTGAACTAAATCCCCAGCCCTCAACATAATTTTTGTATTAGCATATGTTTGTGACAGGTAACTGCAGTAATCTTCAGGGAACTGTATCATATCACATCTTAGGCATCTCTACTCCTTTTCCTTCCCAGATCCCCTACCAATCTGCACAGACTCTACTTCCCTGTCTCCTACCAGCTCCCTTTTATTTTTCTCTTTAAATTATTTACACTTTGGGTCTCTCATTTTAGAGAAACTATGCAGTATTTAATCTTCTGTGTCTGATTTCACCTAGCATTATGATCTCAGTGTGCATCTATTTCCTACAAATGACTCGTTTATCCTTCTTTATGACAGAGGAGTACTCCATGGTATATAAATACCACATTTTCTTTATCCATTCATCTGTTAATGGACATACGGGCTGCTTCCAAGATTTAGCCATGGTGAACTGTGCTCCTATCAATATGGGTGTGCATGGATCACTGAAATATGTTATCTTCTTTTGGGGCAGGTATTGGGGATGGAACTCAGGACCTTGCACTTGTGAGGCAGGTGGCAGCACCACTGAGCTAAATCCCCAGCCCAACCTTCATTTTTATCTCCTTTCAAATCTTACTTTCTGTTATGCTAGGGGACTTTAAGGAAGTGGCCCCCAGCTCACTGGCCATACTATTTCCTCTCAAAATGATGTGATTAATATCCACCAATGAGCAATATGTGAATCATAAGTTTTATTTATAAGACTGGAACACACAAGAGTATTAGTTTGGGTGGTTTTTGCAAGTTTAAATTAATAAAATGCAAAGAATGGCAAATGCATTTCTATTTACAAAAGGCAAATTTAACTAAGAAAGGTCAGTTTTTATTCCAAAATAGGAACAGTGGCATACACAAAGGGATCGTTTTATAAACACTGATCTAAAACTTTTACACTTGTCAACTTTTTTCCTTGGGGGAGGGAAAGATTAATGTTCATTCTTTGGCATCATTTTTTTAAAAGCTTCTTCTTGGATCATTATCCACTAGAGTGCTTATAAACGTCCGAGGCGGGCATTGAAGGATCCATTTGGCTGATCCATTTTTAAATATCTTTACACTTTTCCTTCCACTGTGGGCCACTTCCCGGGCAGTGGGGTGGCCAGCAGGGATCCGAACAGGGGAGCCCAGAATCCCGAAGTTTGGCTTGTGCTTTCATTCTGTCCAGCTGCCTGCTCCACCCCGACCCCGGAACTGTCTTTCAAAGGGGCAGTAACAGCGCCTGGCCGGTAGGTGGCGCGCTGGCGCGCGGGTTCAGCCTGGCTGGGGAAGGGAAGTCGGGCCGGCCGCTGTGCTCCCCTGCGCCCGGGGTCTGCGTCCGCGGGGACTCTTCCCCCAGGAACTTCGCATGGTAGAACAGGCTCGGAAGGGACTGAACACCGAGCGTCTATAAATTAGTCGTCGGTCTGGTTCTTCACGCTTCACGCCACTCTGGTTGCTTTTATTGTTTTTCTTTTCTCGAGTAAGAAATTTGGCTCTTTTTTTCTTTGTAAGTCGAAGTCCAGGTCAACCTCTGCACCCCTATTTTCCTCCTTAGCGTCTTAGAGAGAGCTTTCACCGTGGCCCTTTCTGGGAGCAGGGTTTTCACCCCGCGCCCCCGGTGGCCTCCTTTTGCTCTGCGGTGACTCCGCTGCCTGGCTCGGCTGTCGGCGAGCTCTGAAAGGGCAAACCTGGGGCAGCCCAGAACCCTCTCGGAAACGGTCCCTCCTGTGGCTCAGATGTGCCGGCCCGTGAGCAGGAAGAGCGGCCGGTCCTCGCGCGCGTTGGCCGTCTGGAACTCGTCGCGCAGCCGGAACTGCCACTGGTCCTCCAGCTCCAGGCGCACCACGGTCTGGCGCAGCGAGTTCCGGTCCCGGCAGATCACGCACAGCGTGGCGCCTGCGAGGGCGGAGGCTTGAGGTCAGGGGGCGCCAGAGGCCGGGGGACCCAGCCAGGGTGTCCTGCTCCACGGGAGGTCAATACGGACACCGAGAAAGAGGAGGAAAACAGAACGAAGGAGACCAAAGAAAGAGGAGCCGGCAAAGCAAAGAGTCCTCAGCTCCAGCCCTGACTCCGCAGATCCCACGCCCTGCACGTCACAGTTGAATCCTCTCTCTGCTCCTCCCAGCTCAGCTGGTCCTAAAATACCCTTTGGTTGCTGTTGTTGTTTTTGATTTTTTTTGAGACAGGGTCCCACTATATAACCCAGGCTGGCCTTGAACTCTTCGATCCTCCTGCCTCAGGCTCCCGAGTGCTGGGATGATAGACGTGCACCACCACGCCTACCTCCTAAAATACTCAAAATATGAGAGGAAGGTCAGGATGAAGGACGACCAAGGACAGGGGAAAGTCCCCAAGGAGCTGAGCACGATGGAAATACAGATTGACAACCAAGGACGGGAAGGTCACCAAGGAGCTGAGCACCATGGAAGTACAGATTGGAAGTCATTTTCTTCTCTTTTTTTATTTTTATTTTTGGTACCGGGCATTGAACTCTGCTCCTTGTGCTTGCTAGGCAGGCGGCAGAACCACTGAGCTAAATCCCCAGCCCTTGGCAATCATTTTCTAAGGGGACATAGAACAAGCTTTGTCAGTTTCAACTACTGTATCAGGAAAAGGAGAAAAACTGGAGAAAAGAGAAAGGAGACTGCAGGACCTCGTACCAGGAAGGAGCCTTTAAGGAGACCTGGGCTTTGATGCAAAGGGTTTGGAGGGGAAAGGAAAACAAGGTAGAAATACCTGCCACTCCCCCAAAGGAGAGGGCACGCAGGTGCCTCCGCTGGACAGGGAGAGGGGAGAAAGGCCCCAGATCCACCCCAGATGTCAGCTTCTTTCCCTAATGGTTCCAATCACTTCCTCTCTCTGAGCCTCAGTTTACCCAGCGGTAAGTGAGGCCGAGGGGGTGAGGTCCTGTCTTCAGAGAGGACCGGTGACAGCACACGATTACCTGTGAGGAAGTGGAACTGTTTCAGGAAGCCAGCCCCCACAAAGGAATCACACAGGTACAGCAGGAGGCCGCTGAACCTCAGGTCGGAGCAGCTGATGTTCAGAGAGTGCGGCCTGGAGCTCACGTAACAGACAGAAATCTGAAAAACAGGAAGCTGAGAGTAGTCTCTGTCCACGAGGAGTCAATGGTGTTACACTCGGGGTGGACAGCTAACTGATGCCAGCCGCTCTGCTATCCTAAAAGCCAATTCCAGAAGGCTTAACCACACTTATCTACAAGGTGTAATGAAACGATACAGTGAATGTTTAAATTTTTAAAAATGTTTAAGAGTAAAAGATACATTGTTATGAATCCCTCAAAATACTTCTGTTCACTTCCAACATGCTCATCCCACCGTCCTCACCACTTTCTGCAGCAGCTCTGAAGTCCTCTTTCCTGAGGGACTTTACCAGATGTGATCACAAATACAGTGACTGCTGCTGCCTAGCGCCATCCCACTGACAGGCAGCTCATAAACACACGACGCTGTGTCCTCATCCACCTTAGTCACCGGATCTGGCACCGTGTGACTTCCCGCTCTTCCCCAAAGTCACAATGACCACGAAAGGGAGACGTTTTGAATCCATCAGGACATGGAGGCAGCCAGGACAGGGCAGCTAAAGACCCTCAGGAAACTGGGCTCCAGAGCTGCTGCAGGAAGTGGCAGAGACAATGGGATGAGTGTGTTCAAAGCAAGGAAGAGGATTTTGAGGGGGATTCATGGCAATGTGTCTTTGACTGCAATAATTTTTTTAAAAAAGGAAAAAATTAAACATTCATCATATTTTCCAATCACACCTCGTATTCATGAATTCACTTGAGAACCAAAAGTGTCTTGGCATCTGAATTGGGTTTGATTCCTAAGGTCTTCTGTTTGGGCAAAAGCAACTCAGCTCTCTCAGCCTCGACTCTGCCAGCTGTCAAGCGGGGTGAACACCCGAGACTCGGTACCCACAGGCTCCACCCACACCCTGGATTCAGTCAACCACACAACAAAAATATTTGACGAAAAATACTTGCGTCTCTCCTGAACACACAGACTTCCTGTCAGTATCCCCTAAAGAACACAGTATCATAAGTATTTACACTGTGTTAGGTATGATAAGCAAGCTAGAGATGATTTAAAGTGCAAAGTTTAGCAGCAAACCCTACATCCTGTGATACTAGAGGCCTGAGCTGAAGCTGCTGGTACCCAGGGGGTCCTGGAACCAGTCTCCATGGATACCAAGAGGCTGGTGTCCTGGAAGCAGTTTTCATGGATACCAAGGGATGCTGCAGCTCTGAAGCAGAGTTCCCCTGTCCTGGCGGCACCTCTGCCCTGAGAGTCCCGTGCCCACGTTACCTGAGGCCCCAGGTTAAGATAGCAGTCCACGGACAGCACGGGGTGCCTGTGGTTCTTCAGGGACAGCGGGAAGAATCGGTGGCTGTGGTGCTGGAGGAATTTCTCCAGCAGCAGCTGGGCGGGTGCTGCGAGGAACGTGTACTTGCTATCGGGGGCACAGATGTACTGGGCTGGCACAACGGCTACAGAGCTGTCAGACACCTGTGGGGCGAGGGTGGGATCAGGCCGAGGGGAGTGGGCTGGGAAGGCTGGGTAGAACATCGCTCGGCCAGCCACCAAAGCATACTTCAAGAATCAAGTTCTTCATTAAGAAAAATTAGGTTTTGAGCCAGGCGTGGTGGTGCACACCTGTCATCCCAGCACTTGAGAGGCTGAGGCAGGAGGATCCCAAGTTTGAGCCCACCCTGGGTATCTTAGCAAGACCTTGTCTCAAAAACAGAAAAGAGAGCTAACAGGTTAAAAATCACACTGAGCAATGTGAAAGATAAATTCGTTTTAAAGGCAAATCAAGCTGTTTGGTAGAAAGACTGAAGATGGTAAAGACCTCAAATCTCTCTAAATTAAACCACAAATCTAATACAGTTTCAACTTTAAAGATTCTCAATGGGGATGGCAGTCATGAGTTTAACTCAGTAACTCCTAATTCTTCTGTAAGACGAGCCTCAGGTTTTTGTTTGTTGGTTTTTGTTTTGGGTTTGGTTTGTTTCTGTTTCGCCTTGTTTGCAGTATTGGGGACTGAACCCAGGACTGTCACACTGAGCTACATCCCCAGCCCC